ATGCAATTTGATTACATTGTATTTAATTTTTTTTAGATAACACTGTGACCTTCTCATGGTCAATGCTTCTTTTTTTTAAATACCATCATTCTACAGGTTGTTGAATTCGTTTTTCTATTGGCAACAACGTGGTATTAAAACAAGATTCATTGACCTTGCAAAAACTTCAGGTCATCATGATATTTCAAACTAAAAAAAGAGATAAAAAAATTAAATTGTACCCATCCAATGTTATCTTTGAAATGCTACATAATTCGTTAAAATATTTTCTGCTACAATCAATAGGTAACGGGTTATTTTAGATAATTTTTAGTGACAGCCTGTATATGATAGAATTTAGTTCAGTTATAGATTGAATGCTGATAGTTCCACCGTTAAAATTCCGAATCTGTACGGTAACGGCGAACGATCCGTTATCGTTTCTCGACGAAATTACTGGGCGCGTTCGATTAAAATTTGTTAGTGTAGCAGTCCGACGCAGGAAGCGGAAGTAGTTGCACGCGGTTCACCGGTCTTGAGAGGGGAAACACGTTTATCCGTCTCCTCGGTCGATAGTTTCCAGAAGACCGACTTCATATAAGAATGTTTCCTACCTCGACGACCCCCTCGAATCGATCATATCGGACGTTCCAGATCCGCTCGAGCGTGTGTCCACGGTGCAATTGCATACCTCTGTATTCTGTCGGATCAGTGATCGGTATCCCATTCGATTCGTAGCTCGCCAAACATCTTTTATCGGATAAATTTCCGTATATACCTCTGAACGTGTGAGACTTCGCGGTTAAAAATATTGCTGTACCTGTCTTTTCTTTTTTATGAATCATCCTGTAGAACTTGGAACAAGGTTATATCTCGGGGAGAAATAGTAAATCGAAATTGTGGAGCAACGGTTATCGACGGGATCTCGAGTTCGATCACTTCCCGATTCTGCTCGAATACTCCTGGTCTGATCATCACTCGACGTTTCTACTTATTTCGAAATATTGACCACGGTACGCTGGTCCTTTGCAGTTTCAAATCTTAGTATATTATTTTCATGAATCACCTTGTAGAAATTGAAACGAAATTATCAATATAAAATGTAAATCGAAATTGTTGAATAACAGTTCTCGAGAGGATCGAGTCGGAGAACATTTCGTCGATATTCTGCAGTGTCTGATCATAAGTAGCTGTTTCTACTTATTCTCACATTGACCACGGCAGGATGATTGTTACAGTTTTAAAGTAATATTAAATTGACATAAAATTGACGAAATACTTTTTCATCTTGTATTTGTTATTCGAAACTTTTTATCTAGATAATGAGTTTGCCCATCTCTGTTGTATAATGAATTGTAAATGACAGCCTAATGCAGAAAAAAATTGTCACTCTGCATAGAGCTAGCGTGATCTTCTTGATTCGATTATTGGTAATGGGACACCCTGTAGATTCTCAGTCGCGAATTGCCGTGATTTTCGGTGCATATACCGGCCCTCTGGTTCGTCGTGTGCGACAGCCCGAAAAACGATATCCCTCGAAACAGACTCCCCCGTTCCGTTCCCATGCATAATGCATACGCGGTGACAACACGGTCATCAGAAACATTTTCAGGGGATCTCGTTAGTATTCCCCGAAATATTATTAATTCCTCGCGTGTTGGTATGCAAATCACACCCGGATAAATCAGCCGTGATGCATCGGTCGCGTCGTGGGTGTATTTGCCCCCCCCTCTGAATATTTCCTGATGTCAGGGATGTGTCGCGATTCGAGCAAATCGAGGATATGTAAAAGTGAATATTATTATGTTTATTTCTTTATTTATAATTGTTTGATTTTTTCTTTCTTTTATCGATGCTCGGAGATTGGGCCCCGTTGGGCTATTGTTCTCTCCTATTGTTTCCAGGTTAGTTGAACAAGCAGGTCGAATCGTAGAAGGATTAGACGGCCATTTTGGCGGGAAGATAGTCGGCCGGCGACCTTGAACAGCGCAACATTTCCCACCCCGTTGAAGCGAAGAAGCCAGGAAATAAATCCGTTGCGTGATCCTCTCACACCCTCCTCCCCCCCTTGGTTGTCGCGATTCCGTTATAAATGGAATTTTTTCATTTCGTTCTGATTTTCTTTCCGGTAGCGTGATTCCCAGAAGAGTTGATTTATCATTGTGTATTCTGGGAAAATTGTTCGTTGAACGGATACCAAAATTTTCACTGTAAAACCAAAAAAAAAAAAATCTTTGACAGAGTTCCCTTTCACGACAGGTGGATTATACTTCTGAAATCGATATTCGAGTAAATCGAAAATTCTCAAGCTAAATATTCATTTTCAAATAAATCGAAGCCTGACGAGTATTCGAATATTCGAGTAGTTTGAATTTTTGTTCAAACAGTTCGTCGATTTCAAGTAATTCGGGAAATTCAAATGCTCGTAAATTACAGATACTTTTACTCCCCTAGTTTTCGGCTTGTAACGTTGTTTCGCGGCGTTAATTAATGTGGCCTCGATATGTTTTTATTTTTTTCTCGCGTTATCAGGCCCAGGGGAACTCACTCATCCCGTCGATCGGTTGAGTGATCTTTTTGTGATCGGCTGTGAGAGATCTCGACTTGTGTAATGTCGCTTCACGGCGTTAATTAATGAAGCCTCGATTTTCTTCTCTCTCGCGTTATTGGATATCCAAGGGGGAACTCTTATCCCTGCGGTTGGTCAAGTGACCTTTCGGTGGAACATTTTAACAATAGGTAATTAGGTGCATCTACAGTGAAGATGATGATAAGAAAAGGGAGCATCCACAGAGTGTCTGGTTTTACCGGACTATCTTTTCGGTGGAATATCTCGTAAGGAACAGAAGTTTATTTAGGCAGTTTATATTAGGCCCAGTTTACTTTGGGCAGAATTTACGTTAGATCTAATTTACTTTAGGCCTGATTTATTTTGGGTAGAATTCACGTTAGATCCAATGTACTTTAAGCCCAGTTTACTTTAGCTAACAAACTTTAAGCCCAGTAGTCAATTTTAGGTCCAATTTCCTAAATACTCACTTTACTTCGGGCCCAATGTACTATAAGCCTAGTTACTTTAGTCTCTAACACGTGAGAATTCAACTATGCACAAATCCAAACTCCACCATCCACCAAGAAACCACAATAACGAATAACATATTATCCTGAAAACAGCGACTGCCCAGAAGATAGGCTGACGCATCGCTGATCCAAAGTTAACAGAAATCCAGCAATCCAACAATCCCGCATCTCGTAAGATCCTCGAATCCAAAGTCTTCCAATACATAGACTACCTAGCGTCGGAATTTCCGGAAATTCCGTTATTCCCTTAAAAGATCCAGATCCGTGACTGCACCGTACTACGGAAGAAATCGATGTTCCTCTTTCGCGGAAGGTCGTCCCCGAGCGCAGAACACCCAAAGACAGTTCGTCATGACGACGACGCTTCTTCCAGTATCGAGGAACACGTAAAATATTTATCGAGCATCATCGGGGCCCGGGGGACGACAAACAAGGAAACGGGAAATTGGAGAGGAAATAGACGACGCTGGGGGGAGAGGGGGGCTGGCTGGCGAAACGCGACGAAAGATCAAAAGACACGTTCTGCAAACTCTTCCCTCTGGATGCTTGTCGACAGTCCTCGTAAATTACAGGGACCGAACGAGGAGTTTACCTCCGTTGAATTTTCAATCGTTCTTCGTATGGTCGAGAGGAGTGTTTACGCGTGCAAACGTGGGGCACAGTCGTTATTGGCTGCCTGGATCCCCACAGTAGAGGAGCTTCGCCACTTCTACGATCACTGATATCGATGCTGATGGATCATTCTAGATACACGATATTCTATTGAATTCGAATGACTACCCGTGATTTATCTTCTGAGCTGGAAAATTTTCGAATTATTCGAATATGTTCGTACAGGATCTCGAACTTTCGAGTTACTCGTGAAAATTCGAATTGCTAGTGTTACTTGAATATTTATCTATTTACCATCACATACTAATCGAACTGTAAGGAAAATTTTAGGCGGATTTTTTTTTTCAAAAATACTATGTTGATTTCAAGTTGCTTGAAAAATTCAGACATTCGATATATATTCGATATATTTTTGGAACTGTTTCAAGCCCGGGTATCTATTTGTTAAAAAAAGAAAGAAAGGGTACATTTCATTATTGTTGAAGTCATAATAACACCGAAAACATAAAATACGTAGTTTCTTCATCTGTTCATAATAATTTGATTACCCAATTTATCTGTCTACGGGTAGCAAGAGGAATCGACGGGGTGCTTAGCACGCGACTTTTGCAAGGCCACGTCGAGGGAGGCCGACCGTTCTATAACCAATTAGTTTCCCTCTTTAAGAAACTGCCTACGGAAGTAGTACTCCAGTGTCCTTCGCCGTCGGTCGAAGTGGCCCGAGGCTTCGACCGCAGCCCACACCACCCTGTGTCCCCTTTTAGGACGAAAATAGGAAATCATCATCTCGACGATGACTCCCTGGTTTTTCACTCCGAATAGAGCGCCACTGAACGCTCGTGGAACAATGGGGGTTTATCGAGGTTATTAATCGCGGATGACGGCTGCGAGCCCCATTTTGGGGGTTGGGGAGGGTGTCTCTATACACACCAATTCGCTTTCCGTTGATCTGGTTACGTTGAATGGTTACATATACATGTCGAAAGTGTGGATTAAAATTTTGTATTAGGTGTACAAATAAATTTATGGATCTGTGGAAACTTGAAATTTAACGTTAATGTCGATTTGAAGTACCGACTACTTTTGCTTTTTTGTTATCTATCCTCTTCTCGAAATTCTCTTGGGAAATTTGTTTACTTTCTGGTTAGTGATTTCCAAAGTAGAGAATAGAATCACTTTCGAGAATTGATTACAAATGGGAATTGTCCATAGGCAGTGGAACGATCGAATCGGTCGGTAACGGTCAGCGAAGCTTTAAAGGGTCGTTCCCCCCTCTTTGGAGGAATTGAATTTTTCGATTTAATCCGATCTCTTAACCTTCTTTTCAGATCCCTGACCGCACGAGAAAACGGCGGCCATTTCGCTCGATCGCCGGAGGATTATCCTGTCCTGTCATCCATCGGGGATCCGATTTTAATGAAAGCTTTTCCTGGTAAGTCCGTTCCGCTATTCGAATTCCCTGGAATCGATTGATTATCGTTCTCCCGACAAAAATCGACTATTAAGACGTTCATTTCCCCCTGTCTGGAGAATTCAAGTCGAAATCTTCGACTTCTTCGTTTGTTCTCGTAGCTCGATTATTTTATATTTATTATGAATATTTTCACGTTTTTTTTTCTTTCGCGATAATTTCTAGTGACAACGTGGGAATGTTGATAAAAATTGAAATTCCATACGGTGAGTTGAACGAGATGTATGAAAGTGTTAAAAGATTTCTGGAATATTGAGGTAGGTAGATGGACAGAGTACTTGCTTTCCACCCGAACGACTCGAGTTCGAATCTCCGCCAAGCGTGTTGTGTTCGGCAATCCTTTCTCCTCGAGACCTACCACAATTTTTACACGGAATCTTCATATTTCTTGCGGAATGGTCATCGAAAGGTGAAAAAGTGTTATCGTTAAAAATCTCTAAAAAATTGTGGAACGCAAGGATTTAAAGTAGAATCCCTTCTTTAAGTTATAAAATGCCAGGAATTCCGAGGATTTCAGATAGACACCACAGTATTTAGAAAAAAGTCCCTGGAATTTTAATGTAGGTTGTGAAATAAAACTGCCAGAGCGTTTTAAGATAAAATTTCGAGGCGAAGGAAATATTTAAGATTCGAAATTAAAAAAGATATTCATAGGATTATAAATAATCTGGTCTTTAAGAATCCATAAATTGTAAATATCCGAGGAATCAGGTGAATTTGAAATGAATCATATTAGAATTGGAAATGCCTGAGAATATTATGAAATTCTTGATAATACTAGAAAACCGAGAAACTGTTCCATTTACCTATGTGTCTGGGCAAATGTATGCTACAAACTTCCTACAATATTACCACAGTATATTAGACAGTGTTTGATACATTGGTTTACATATAGCTTATATACATATAGTACAGAGATCTTTATTTGCGAAAGGAAGCTTTGTTTAATGAGCTTCCTCGGTGGATAATGCGATTATGGTTGTATTAAAGGTACGTCGTTTCATCAATGCCTGACTCGTATCACTTAATCCCAGTATAACCATGTAATAGGTAGCGAATCGAATCGTACCACGTATTTACGTATACTGACATACGATGTTCATTCGTTTATTACTACATTACTTATTGTCATCGCAGACAATACATTAAAAAATACTATATTGAAAGATTCATATTTACTAATACCTAAAATACTTAAACTAGTTTTTTTTCCTCGATATTTTCCAACTTTCATTTGTGCATCATTGATTTCTCATTTCTTAATATTTCATCAATTTTAAACTAATGTGAATTTTATGGCACAATACAATTACAACACAAATTATTGTTATTGAAAATACCTTTTCGTATTTAATATTAGAAATTGGATCGTGTAGTAAAAACTCCCTGGATTATTTCAAATCTTTGGAAGCCTGTAAGACAAAATAGTCACGTTGCTTTCCCCATTATCCTTATGAATCGCGTCGTGAAGAATAATGCAATAATTTTAGGTCCGAAAAACACCATCATGGGAAGTTTTCCATTCCTCTTCCCTCCACTTCTACCGCGTCTTACAGCGGCCGCAAACTTCGCCAAGTGACCTACAATTTATTCTTCTCCGTTCGCGGTCCTTCCATTGAATTTCATTAATGTAATCGTCCGCCGGGTGGAAATTAATTAAATTAACGGCTGATTAAATTGATCGCGACTGCGACCGTGGTTCCTTCCGCGTCCCGAAGCAATTAAGAAATTAATCAGATTTTCGCAAAATTCACGCACACCTTTACGTTTTTCCATTCATATTTTTTCGCCAAGGGAGAAAGAATTTCTTATAGGGATGGGAAATCGAACGAAATGAATCTACACACAGTGGGTGATCGAATTATTATGAACACTTCGAAATTACCAATCATTTGAATTTTGATCACGAATGGAGTCGAAAGTTATGACACCTTTTTAAACGAAATATTATTTCAAATAACATTCGAGTCCCAAGCGTCTTCCATTTTGATCGGTCTAATTGTTTTTTCCCACGATTTTTCGACGGATGATTGGGACCTGTTCTTCCGTTTCCTCGAGAAATCGTCGAAATCAACGACGCAATCCTTCAGCATCCTCTCGCGTAACAATTTGTGGATTGTCCTGGACGTCGCGCCGTTTCGACGCGGCAGCCTGCAATTCAATTAACCCAATTGACTCGAGATAGCCGGTACGTGGCCCCCTAACACGGGAACGTCACTCGAATGTCAATATTTGTCAATGGCCAAATGGCAATAGGCGTCTCTTGTGATTGCACACGCTGACGTTCAGCTTCGATTCGACCGTGAATTAACCAGCCAAAAATTATACGTTCACTGTTCTATCGTCCATAAAATCGGTATAAAAACGGTCGTAGTTACAGGTGTGACAATCGAGAAAAATCGCCTTTTGGATCGAACATGAACCACAACATTAGAGATGTTTAAATTAAGCCTAAAGATATCACTAGACTTGGTGAAATACAATGAAAAAAATAATCATCAATTACATTAAAAAAATTCACTACAGTTTTCTAAGAATACCAACAGTTCCGAAGTAAATTACGATGGGTCGAAAAAGACTCGAGGAACGGTCCAAGGCTTAAAGAATAGGAAAAAAATCGTTATTCTCGTCATCGATCGCCACAGTGGTAAAAAATCGTGTTTCCTTGACACCGAGCGAAGTCTTCCGTTTACCACATTCGAACGGTATGTGCAGGATCGAATTTTCGCACGAGTGAAACACGATCGGGCCATCCGGAACAGCAAGTCACCGAAAAAAAAAAAAAAAAAAAAATAAATAAAAGGACCGGCAACTGCGATGCCTCGAATTCGAGATTCACTTTTGACCGACCAGCCGTGCTTATTACTTCCGGTCCCGCGGTGTTCCCCCTCACCTCCTGCGGTTAATTGTTCGTCGGATGTGTCGAACGGGGGGTAAATGTCGCGGCTCGACTATCGGGGCAAAGGAGAGTTAATGAGGCCGTTATCATGGCCGTGTATGATTAAAAAAGAGGGTGTGGACGGTGGCGATCAGGGGAGGGATAATTAACCGTGGCGATCACGATCGTTCACTTCGTTACGGTTTATCACTATGTACGGGGTGGCTCGTTGATACAATCAGTGTTCACCTGGAATATCTCTGTTATACTTGTAGGACTAGAATTATGAAAATATTAGGTTGATATAAAAGTTCGTCACAGTTGCAAAAAATTGAAGAAAAAATGTATGGTCTAAAAATTATATTTAATCGATATACAGTGGGCTCTAACTATATTGCCATGATCGGGGCTGTAATAATCGGCTAATTCGCAATTTTTAGTGGAATATACAGGGTGGGTCAATAAAAACTACTATCTAAAATAACTCGTTATCTAATGATTGTATTAGAAAACGTTGGAATGAATCATGTAGTGCTTTGAGGGACGCATCGGTGGGATAGAATTTGATTTTTTGTGTATTTCCAAGGACAATGCATTCTTTTTGTTTTAATTCCTCGCTGCTGTTGATGGAAGGACGAATTCAGCGACCTATATCTTTTCCGCGTGGACCAAGCGCCCCATTACTACGCTCGCCGCTGGATAACGAGGCATAATGGCGACCCGTATCTGATGAAAACCGCGGCGGGGGTTTAGCCGGGCGAATCCGAGGAATTTGTTGGCCGAACACGTCAACGCTCGATGAAAATCTCTGTTACAGGGGTGGAGGGATAACAGAATATAGCTGGGATCATTACGAATATACCTTTAACATGATAATAAATATCGTGCTGGGGATTAAGAGAATGACAAAACCAGAGGTTGTTGCTGGTTTTCGCAGGAAGGGTTTAATCGAACGTGGGCTGGACACGTGATCATCGCATGGATTAATCTGCACGCCTATTAACCTTCGAACTGTTGGTATTTTTTCATAAAAAAAAATGGTCTCGACCAAAAATTTATGTATGTATATACAGGGTGTCCCAAAATAGGTGGAGCCCTTGAAAGGGGTGATTTCTGGGGTGATTTGAAATAGTTTTTTCCTTAACGAAAAAATTCTCCGAGGATTTGTTAACGAGATATTAACAGTAGGTATAACGCCTCTCGTAAACCTAGTGTTAACGAAAAACCCCCACCAATCAGAGCGCTAGTCTCCTGCAGTAACGTTGGACTACCTAAACCGCCCCACTTTCAACTACAAATCGGTATGTAAGAATTTGTTAGTAATATTACAAACTACGTTTCGTTACCAACATTTTACGATAGAAAATTTTCTACAATTTTAAACTCTAATTTTTTTTACTCTTATCCATTGACAAACATACTGTGAGGGGACTCGATAATTTTCGTGGATCCCCATATTTGCTCGCGACCTACGACGAGCTTATGAATGTCCCCTGAATAGCAATCACGCGACCAGCGTACACAGAATCCCGCTAAAACGGTTACCAGGGGAGTGCAGGAAAAACGTCACGGTTTCTGTTTGGCTGCTTGTATACTACCGGTCAAAAGTATGGACACACCCTTTCGATTCTTCACACCCATTAGATCTTCACGATTCCGACCAATTGCAATTTTTTTCAATTCTTTTTAACACATCAAACTAATGTCCCCAACTTCACAAATGAACTCAAGTTATTTTTTTTTTTAAAGAAGTTGTTCCGTTTTAAAGGGTGTACCCATACTTTTGACCGGCAGTGTATGCATGGCGAGAACGAGAACCGGGGGATACGAATGGATAATTTGCCTCCTTGCACACACTTGGATGAATGAGAGAAATCGGTCCTACCCCGGAACAATCGATAATTAAGCCGGTTTCTCTTTGCCCAGCCTGGTTGATTGTCATATTCGTGGCGGTGGGTGAGAAAAGCGTCCCGTGGGCGGAGACATAGACGACCCGATTTCAGGGGGGCAGAGAAGGGGAGAACGGTTGCAGCCGCTGAATGTCAATGAGGCTTATTAAAGTCAATACCGCGGGCACACGGAT